ACTGTTAATGGTTATGAGATTGGGGTTTATGCTAAAGTAGATTGTTTTATGCCATTTTAACTGGTGTAGTAAATATCTCAGAAAAGTATGTATGTTTGTGTGTATATGTGTTTTTACAGTATATTTTTTACATATGTAGAATATTAGATAAATAAAGAATCCAGATTATATCTTCATATATTCGAGGTCTAGCCTGGGTAGTGATGTTAATTAGAACAAGTTATTGTTATTATGCCTCAGTTAATATTTAGAACAAGGAGAACACCATACCCAAACCAATCAGGGTTTGCTGAAAAGTGAGCAGAGTTAATACAGCTAAGTGTTGATGATGATGTGTATGGTATAATTTCTTTGACTGAACCAATATGCAGCGTATTCATGATGGGAAAATTCATTTAGTATGTTGTAATAAACACAGTGATTGAATGAAAATAATAGAATAAATAAAGTTTAAAAGAGAAGTGATAAGAATAATCTTTGGATATTTTCAGCATTTGATAGATATTTGTCATTATATGTGTTATATGATATTCTAATGAACTAAATAATGTACAATAAGATGATGAGAGGCAAAATTTTAAGAAAGTCACAACCCAAAATCAAATGAAAATTTGAAGTGCAGTTTAAAGACACATTGACAGCCTTCTACACCTAATGTACTCAAAAGTAAATTGAAAGTATTTGCGTGTGTGTGTGTGTGTGTGTGTGTGCATGTGTGTTTGTGTTTAAATAGAGGTCTGAACAATATAGCTTAACTACAAGGTGACTTTTTGGTTTTCACTCTATCTTTTTTTTTTTTCCATCAAGTATTACTGAATGCGTGGAACATCCCTCTCTGGACTCTCAAAAGCAGAATAAAATAAGCTGCCTAATTTATCACATGATCCTCCTAGGGAGATCAACTTAATGCAGCAGGAAAAAAAAAGACAAAAACAGAAAAACACTACATAGAGAATGTGCATTTGAAGATTGAACTTTGAGGAAGTGTATCATAGCAAAATGTATTTAGTAATCCAATTTTTGGAAATATATCATTTTATTCTATGACAATAAATGTAAGCTGTGACCTAGAAATATCAAAACTTAAAAGCATGTTTAAATTCATGTAATTCTTGTTAAAATAATATATAGCTCAAATGCTTCTTTTTGTCAGCCTTAAATTCTCATAAACTTTTCATGGTATTTTGAATAGAAAAATGTTTTTTCTCAAGCATTCTGTTGCTTCATTTAGTAGGAAAAAAGCTCCTGCACTCAGAGCAACACAGTCACATCTACAAACTCCAATATTAAATTAAGTTTTAGTTGTATTTGGCCAGGATTGACTTAGCTAAGGTTATAGAGAATCACAGAGCAGTTTAGATACAATGTATCTTAAGATGACTTTACATGCCCTTGGGTCCTTAAGATATATGTATGTCAGCATCAATTAGTGATGATATCTACAGTGGATCGCATCACATTGCTTATGAAAATCTTATTTTCACTATATCATTACCTTTTAATTTTATTTTACTTATTTTTTTTCTCATAAAAAAACATGTGCTTGTGCACAAGAGCAAGAGAGAGACGAACACTCTCTATGGGGTCTGGTCATGCCACAGTCCCCTTCCTCCAGTTCTCCAGCCCATCAGACCTTGGACACTCAGTTGGTTCCCAGCACTAGGGATTTGAACAACAAATCCTGTGGGGTCTTTCTCCCTTTGAGCAGCACAGCACCACTGCATCACTGTCCCACCACTGCCCTTTTATATTTAGTGATTACATCACCACATATTATATCACTTATGAGAAAATATAGCTATTTTAAAGAGAATAGGCAAGTTGAGTGTGGGAGTATATTTGCAGGTCCATGGGTGATTCCAATGTAAATTTGGAACAGCCTTCAGGGAAACAAAATCCTTCCTGTGCTGTGACTCGGATGATGAAAAATGTTCTGGAAGTAGATAGTGGTAAAGGCTAATCAACCTTGTGAATTTACTAAACCAAAAGTGTTTTTACTTTTAAAGAATAGGTTTTATAGTATTTGAATTATATCTCAATAAAATAATTAGTGTAAGGTAGCAATATTTTAATAAGGTAGTAAAAGAGAATGTTTCAAGAATGGAAAAAAATGGACAGAAAATCACTGGTAATGATTAAGTGGCATGGAGGGATTTCTGAGTTTCATTGAATTTTTGCTTTAATTAGAGAAGTGTAATATAGGTCAACAGTTCTGAATTTTCCTGGCACCAGGGACCAGCCTCATGGAAGGCAGTCCCTCCATGGACAGGAATGTTGGTACTAGGATGATCCAAGAGCACACCATGCACCCTATTTCCACCACTACCACATTGCAATATGCAATGAAACAGTCACACAAAAATAGAGGTTATACTCCCAGGTGAATCCAATATGGCTGCTGACTGAACTGGAGACAGAGCCCAGGCACCAGTATAAGTGATGGAGAGCAGCTGCAAACACACACAAAGGCTTGCTCACTCACCTGTCACCTGCCTACTGAGGCATAGCGGAGGTAGAGTATCCAATAGGGGATGAACTGGCTCTAGTCTGCACTCTGGAGTTGGGGGATCCCTGATATAGGTAATGATTTATAGTATAATACTTAAATATAGTTATATTTATCTCTATATATATAGATGAAAGAGATAGGTATAGATATATTTTATACAATTAGTTTGCTGTTTCATCCTGAAATAGATCAATTTGGTGACAATAATGGATAATTGTTTCAAATTACCCAAAGTTGTTGATGTATTCTCAGAAGAAATGACAAAACCAGACATATAATTAACTATGGTTGATTGCATAACCTGAGGGAAGGAACTTCAGAGATTTAAGTCCACTTGGTGAAATAAAATACTACCTGCCTAGTATTTAGTCACCAAAGACCTGCTCTTCTCAGGTATGTGTCTGGGTTACCAAATTTAAAGATACAAGGTGGAAAAAAAACCCCTTATTGTTTTGGAAAAGAATATGAAATATTTTCAAAGTAATCATCTGTTCCAACTTATTTTGTTCAATAAATTCTGTAATCTAGGCACTAAAAGTGATATTTTCTCCTCAGAACATAAAGTATCTGAACTTATTAGTATTTATATCAGAACATTTTAATTAATTATTTTAATAAATTTTAATCTTGATTCAGAAGAAAGCATATATTGCCTTTATACTTTGCAAATGTGTGTATAACTTTAAGTATTTTCTCTTTCTTTTAAGAAAAAAAAATTGAGATACCACATTAGAAATAATGCTAGTTAAAACTCAACTCTCTGAGTCACATTCCATATTAACTTAGCCCTTGCAATATATTCATCACCTATATTCCAATTGTCGTATCTTAACAAGGACTCATACATACATGCAAATACATAATACACGCATACACATTTAAGAGAAGCCTATGTGTATCTGAAATGTTTACTTATTTTCATTTTTTAAATATGAAAATCATTTTGAATCTCATATAATGAAAATACATCTGCTAAGTTATTGTGTTTCATTTTTAACAGTTCCTTGGCACCAGACCACTCCTACAAATAGGTTAACAGGTCTTGTGGTAGTTGTATTACATTAATAGATAAATACTACTTATTTCACGTTTCACCAGTACTAAAGACAGCCAGTAATAGCACACTGGAATTTTCATGATTACTTTCCAGTGATTTACATATTGTTCCTATAACTAATGTAAGTGTCTTATAAGCCAATCATGATTTTTAATGAAGTATATTTATTTTATCAACAGAGAGAAAGAGAGAGAGAGAGAGAGAGAGATAGAGGGAGAGAAACAGGCATTCTTGACTGGATCTCGTCACACAGCAGTCTCCACCTCAACCTTCTGGCCAGTCACTATCACCAGAGTGTTTCAGGTCAACCCGGAATTGGGTCTTCCATGTGGCTCTAGTGCTGCAGAGGGACACTTAAGCACCCACACCCATGGCTGGACCAAGCCTATTATAATATTTGAAGAACATAAAAATTGGAATCATTTTTGTGTTTATGTGAATGTTTTCAAGCATAGCAAATGCTTAACCCTGTATTTTACAACCTGGTCTCTCTAACATCATGTTCCTTTCATATTATTCTCACTATGAAAAGCGACTTAAGATAATCTAGATCTATTCATTGAAAATAGAAGGGAGGTGTCAGACAGTTGTAGCAGCACTAAAATGTGATATCCTGCAAGGCTGGTAATTACCAGATTCACTTCTGAACACCTCTCTTAGTATGCTGGACATATGTGTGCACATGATCCTGGGCTGGCTGAGGCTTAGGGTGGATCGTGGTGTCACGACCCTTTAGGGGGTGATGTATTTCTCCCTCTCTCTTTCTGACCTTTCTACTCATGGAAGAAATAAATTGAGAAAGAAAGGAAGAAAGAAAGAAAGAAATAAGAAGAGAAGAAAAGAATAAGGAAGTTAATGCCCAGAGGATTTAAAGAACTTGCAGAAAGTCACATCAATTTTTTTTTGAGAGGTTTTTGCTATAGGATGTGTGCGCTCGCCAGAGAGACAGAGAGAGACAGAGAGATAGAAAGTGAGAAATCACCCTCTGGAGGAGTGGCCACACCACAGTCCCTTCTTCTCCATTCTCCTCTCGGGATCTTGGGCACACACGCACATGCGCCTGGTGAGTTTAAGCCACTGGGTTGGGACTCGAACCACAGTCGGCTACATGGGAGTTCAGCGACATAGCCATTACGCTAACTGCTGGTACCAAAGTCACATTATTTTTGAATGTCAACTAAATTTAGATAATAGCTTCTCAATTTGCTATCCAAGATATTTTTTATTTATGTCAAATAAATAACAATACATCTTTAAAGAATAATATATGGCTTTTTTCTTTTATCTTTCTTTTTTTTTTTTTTGCTTAGGATGAAAAAGACAATTAAAAAATATACTATGTTTTGCCTTACAAATGCAGTGTGCATGTCTAAAATAGTGAAAATTGCATTAATCATTTTCTTTAACAGAAAGTTTTAATAAGATTAAAAAGGAATGGATGGCGGAAATTGTTCCTCATTAACTGAATTCTTTCTCCTGGGAATTACCAATAAGCCTGGAATGAAAATGATCCTATTCACCACATTTTCAGTTGTTTATCTCATTAATCTCCTGGCTAATCTTGGAATGATCTTCCTAATTAGGATGGACACCCACCTGCACACACCGATGTACTTCTTTCTCAGTCACCTGTCTTTCTGTGACCTCTGCTATTCCACTGCAATTGGACCTAAGATGCTGGTAGACCTACTGGCAGAGAACAAATCAATTTCATTTGTTGGCTGTGCTCTGCAATTTTTGATCTTCTGTACCTTTGCAGATTCTGAGTGTTTATTGCTGGCTGTAATGGCCTTTGATCGGTACAAGGCCATCAGCAACCCTTTGCTCTACACAGTCAACATGTCTACTAGGTTCTGCTCAGTGCTCATGGGTATGGCTTACCTGATGGGAATGACAGATGCTTTGACACATACGACATTAGCCTTTCGCTTATGTTTCTGTGGGTCCAACGAGATTAATCATTTCTTTTGTGATTTGCCTCCTCTTTACCTCCTTTCCTGTTCTGATACGTTCGTCAATGAGCTGGTAGTTTTCATCTTTTTTGGTTTCATTGAACTGAGTTCCATTTTGGGAGTTCTTGTCTCTTATTGTTATATTATTTTAGCAGTGATAAAGATAAATTCTACTAAAGGGAGATTCAAAGCTTTTTCCACCTGTACCTCCCATTTAACTGCTGTTGCAATTTTCCAGGGCACTATGCTCTTCATGTATTTCCGACCCAGTTCTTCCTATTCCCTCGATCAAGATAAAATGACCTCATTATTTTACACCCTTGTGATCCCCATGTTGAACCCTCTGATATACAGTCTACGTAACAAGGATGTGAAAGAGGCCTTGGAAAAACTGAAAAATAAAAAATGGTTTTAAATATTTATATTATATGTACACACATGTACACATGTAGTGAATGTCACCATAAAATTATTTAGTATGATATGTGAAATACAAACTTGCAGAAAACACTTTAATTAAAATAAATATTCACACTAAAGGCCAGTTGTAAGAAAATGTAGTTCCCCAGACATATCATGCTTCCCAATGTGTCTTGTATTTGTATATAGTGCTCTCTGTTTTTGGAAAACCTTCCCAATGTTTTTAATTTTGTCAACTTTTTTATTTGTTCACCCTTTTACTCCAGTATTACTTTAATATACTACTATTTACTGAATATTTAATAAGTAGTTTTTCGCAATTACTTTTTTTTTTCATTTCATGGTGAATCTGGCAGTTTCCATACTAATGGATCCTATTATCTAGTGGAATTGAAATTAATTAATAAAGTAGTCAAAGAGCTTATAATAACTGTCGGTTTCTTCCTGATGTCAAATGACGATAAGCTGTAAATCCAGAGCCAAGTTTATATATCAATGTACAGGATAAATACTTCCTTGGATGAAGATGTTCATTCTCATATACATATATTTAAAAAACAAAAATCAAAAACACAAGTTAAGGAATGGAAACATTTCTATGTCAAAGTTCTGCAATTAGAGCAATCTTAAGGTAGACTGGTTCATGGTTTTTTTTATAACTCTGTGATACATTGTTTTATATTTATTTTTAAGGTATTTTCTTTCATAGAATTAAATCACAGGAAAACATTTGATTTAAACTGTTCTAAATTATTTTGAGAAGATCCAAGTTTCCATATGATGTAATTTGTTTTCTCTTCAGACAACACTTAAAAATTTATTATTGTTTATTTACTTTTATTTTATAATTTTTCATTTGCATTCAACCATTGTACATCTCTATAGTGCAGATAACATATTAAAAGAAAACAAAATTTGTCTTTTTAAAAGTAGAAAGTACAATCTGCTTAGGTTATAAACATCAATGGAACTTGTCCTGGTAAAATGCACATATGTCTTATAATTGTCAACCACAAGCTCTTCATTTCCTCTGGGAATCTTTCTTTCCATTCTTTCCCTTCTTATTTCTGTAATTTTTTTCTTTATAAAGCTAAAAAATTAAAACATATATACATGTATAATATATGTTGGTTCCTTAGTCCAGGTGCAAGTAGAATACCTGCAGTTGGTCAAGATTTTCTCCACACTGGACAACTTTCCTGAGTCTGGTTGGACTAGCCTGATCATAACAAATCCTAGGTTTCTGTAATATCTTACTCACTATGTGTAATAATAAATCTAGTTTGTGTAACTCGTTACTTGTGTAGGTGTATCTGCTTCACAGGACACAGGCAAATTGATAACCAGCACAGTAACCTAGCTTCGCACTAGCTATATTATAATTTAGAAAATATCAACTTTAGTTAGTGTAACCTAAATGGTAAAAATACATGGAAATAAGAAATATATATATATATATATATAGGTAAATATATTAGGTATATATATTTTTCTTCTCTTTTTTTTGAAAAAGAGTATTCAGAAAAAGAGAAGAAAAATGACTACATATAAAAGCAAAACATAATTACTAAAAAAACTCAAGACCTAAAAACCAGAGATTTCATGTTCTCAGACAGAATAGTTCACTGGGGTCAATGTAAATATATATTTTTTAATTAATCATGCATTTAATATATTGCAAGTCAAAATTCTGTAGTTTTCTTTATTCTAGTAATAATGCAGGAACAATCAAAACAGAAAATGTTCTTTTGATGAATATTGAATGTTAAGCCTTTTATTGGATATCTACATTCATGAACTAAAACAATAATCATTGTCTTTAAAACAATTCATTAAAGTATGACAATAAACACACAAATATTTGTATATTAAATATAATAAAAATGGCATATAATATTTAAACACAAGGTATAATTTTTGTAGATATGTTTAAAACATTGGTTTTAAGAAAACAAAAAATTATTTGGTAACAATTATTCATACATATACACAATATAAATACACATACACATGTTTTATTGCTTTCTCTAAAATCTTGCACACAAATATATTGACATGTGTGTATACACAAGGCTTTAAATATTAAAAAAGTGAACATGAAGAAAAAATGATCAATCATGATATAATATTAAAGTAAAAAAATGAAGAAATCTAATATGTGTTTAACAACATTAAAAGTATTACCCTTTAACACTACAAAAACACCACTATAAAAAGGTTCAAGTTTTGTATTAGAATATATAAAATCTCATTTAAATCAATGTAATATTTTATATGCCACAGTACTATATAAATTGTATGAAAAGCAGTTCATAAAAGTGTCATTCAATGGCACACATCTCCATTCTTAACAAAATAAATCCAAACTGTTGATTTAGAGAATGATGTAAATATGCCTACATAGTGGAAATATTGCAATTATTGATAACAAAAATCTATGTTCAGTGAGGCTTTTGGGAAGAGTAACAAAATTATCTAAGAAGAAATTCTATATATGTATATAAAATTGTTATACTTTCTTCATAAGATTAAGAACACTAAAGAACACCAACTGGATATAAGGTTAATATATACATAGGTAAAAATAATTCAGTATCACAAATATGTTAGTTCTTCTCTAATTTGTTGATAGAATCAATGCAATTTCCAAAAAGGTCTCAGTGGTTTCTCTTTTTGTAATATCTATTTTTTTAAAGTTTTATTTATTTATTTCCTTTTTTTGTTATTATTATTTAATTTGATCTGAGAGAGAGAGGGAGAGAAAGGGAAATGGAAAAAGCAAGTCACCAATTCCAGGTCTCAAATCTCTTTTTGCAATGTAGGAATTCAGTGCTTTTAACCACCACGCCACCTGCCAGCCTATCTATTTAATTTCTTTTATTATTATTATTGTTATTATCATTATTATTTTTTAAAAATTCCTACAGGGCATATGTAGTTGAGAAAGAGAGAAAGAGGGAAAATGAGAAAGCAAGCCTCTAGGTCTGGGATTTGAACCATGATCTGCCATGGGGGAAACTAGCGCCTTAACCACCATGCCACCTGTTGGCCCCTTCAATGGTTCTAAATTTCTTTCTTTTATTTTGCTAGTTAGAGGGAGAAAGTGACAAGTACCCTAAACAAGGTCTCATCACACAGCTGTTGTTACCCCAGGCTCCCATCTAGTCAGGCACATGGATGTGCCTGCAGGTACCTGGTGTGTTCACGTCAAGCCGGGAACTGATCCCAGGCTTCCCATATGGATCCAGTGTCATGAATCAGCATTCTACCACCTGTATCACTACACCTGAGCTGTCAACAGCTTTTTAAAATTTGGCCTGTCGAATTAAAATATATGTGTTGAATTAAAATGTATGTGTCGAAACAAAAGCCCAAAGTATCTAATTTACTTAAAAACAAAAAAGGAAAAAGAAAATACAATGAATGCTAGCATTGGGAGACTTGCCCTTTCAGATGTGAAATTTTATAAAGTTACAGAAATAAGTTGGATTGTTAAAATTCATTGACCAGAAAATACAATAAATAAAAGTATCCACTATTCCATTAAGTATGTTTCGATAACTAGCCATTCACATTAAAATGTAATTTGTAAGAATTTAGATAGGATATCAAAAAAATTTCTGGTCTTCACAAGTTTTCAGAAAACTAGTATGGTAATAAGACACTAAAATTCTGAGAAAAAATGGAATTCTGCTTAATTTAGAAACATCATCAAGCATACAAATGTTTTGAATGCATCATCCTTGCATGTATGAGCTATATTAGTAGGAAAGAAAATAATTCCAGGTAATATATTTCTACTCTTTGCTCACCATCTTGCACTTTAAGTTAACCTTGTACTTTAAGTTAACCAAAAATACTTAACTATAAATATTCAGTAGGCAATTATCTTTGCAAGTGTCTTCCCCTTTGTAATAGGGAATTTGAAAAATAAACATTTATGTTATTCCTAAATTCTTAAATATAGGATAGAAACTATTACTAGGAATATATTAAATGTAAGGAATTTAGCAAAATCATAAAATTACTACAACATAACTGGATGACACATACTGAGTAGATGTAGTAAAACAATACTTCGTGAACTAAGAGGTCTTTACAGTTACTACTAATATTAACCTGAATTTATTAAGAGCATCTTTTTTTTTTTAAGAGGTTTTGCCTTAGGGTATGTGTGCTCCCTGGAGAGAGAAGAGAAAGAGAGAAAGAGAGAGAGAGAGAGGGAATGACAGTGAGAGGGAAAATATAAATTCACCCCGCCACATAACACACACAAAGGGGGATGACCTTGCCACAATCCCTAATCAACCATTCGCCTCCTGGGATCTTGGGCACACTTGCACACACGCCCAGTATGATTTCCTTTTTTATTTTTGGAAAGGATTTTGCTATAGGGCATATGTGCTCACCAGAAAGAGAGAGAGAGACGGAGAGACAGAAAGCGAGAAATCACCCCCCAGGAGGGATGGTCATGCCACAATCCCTTCTCCTCCATTTTCCTCTGGGGATCTTGGGCATGGACGCATGCCTGGTGTGAGTTTAAGCCACTGGATCCCAGACTCGAACTGCAGTTGACTACGTGGAAATCCAGTGACATAGTCAATATGCCACCTGCTGGTCCCCACCCAGTATGATGTTCAAACCACTGGGACTGGGACTCGAACTGTGGTCAACCATGTGGGAGTTCAGCAATGTAACCAGTACTGCATCTGCTGCCCCTGTTAATAATTTTTTTTTTGAGAGAGACATTTTTCTATAGCATATGTGTGCACTTGCCAAACACAGAGAGACAAAAACCGTGAAATCACTCCCCAGGGGGAGATGGCCACACTTTAATCCCTTCTCCTCTCAGGATCTTAGGCATGCACGCACACATGCCTGGCCTGAGGTTTGAGCCACTCAGTCTGAGATTCGAACTGAAGTCGACTGTGGGAGTCCAGTAATGTAACTACTACACCATCTGCTAGTCCCAGTTAATAACATTTTTATCCACAA